CAAGGGAGGAGCCTGGCGGCCGGCTGGGCGAGGCCAGGGCCTGCCTGCAGCCAGACCTGGGGGTGGGAGGACCGGGCGGGGATGTCGGACTGTGTGTGGCTTGTCGGTATCAGTTGGTATCAGTCGTGCGGACGTGAACGCGATCGGTGGGAGAGCTCTGTGTGTGAGTGTACGTGCGCGCTTGCCCGTGGAGGAGACGTGTGTCACCTAAGGCTCTCTCTGCTGTGGCTGTGTGTCTGGGCTGGCTGGCTTGGACAAAGTGTGTTTTTGAGGGGCACGTGCACACCTGTCTGCCCTGTTGTTTAAGTGTGTGTTTGGTGTGACCTGACCTTTTCCCCCACCGGGGCTGTCAGGGATTAGGCGCTGCCCCACCCTACAGCGGAGATCCCTCAGTGTTGCCTGCCAATTCCCTTGTTCATCTATAGACTCAGATACTGCCCCACCCGGCTCTGAGGCATGGATAGGGTCCAGTAAACCTGGGGTGCTGATACAACCCCCGGAGAACCACTCCCCGTGTCTCTGCCTCCCAGGCACAAGCATCTACACGGCCAGGGATCACCTTGCTTGACTCAGAAAAACCTGTGAAGTAAGGAGTGTCGTCCTAGCCTCATCCCTAGGGAGATTTCTGAGGCTCCCAAGGTAGTACTTAAGCCATCTTCATCTATGAATAATAGTAATAGTAATAATAATAATAATAATAATAATAATACAGTAGTGACTATTTCCTGATACCTATCCTGTAACAGGGCCATACTACCCTATTTGTGTTTTAATTTCTTCCCACAAAAATCCTATGAGCCTTGTAGTCTGTGAGGCAACTGAGGTGCAGGAAGGTTGAAGACCTTGCCCAGGGCTACCCAGCCGAGAAGGGTCCGGGAATATTTGATGAGTGCCACCCCCAACTGCATTCTTACCAAGACAGGATTACGGCCTTTTACTCAAGGTGGGGGCTCCTTCCCTCCCTCCCTCCCTCCCTCCCAAGGCGGCCCATGCACTAGCGAGTAGCGTGATTGGAGGGTGGGTGTCAGTCCAAGAATTGACTCTGAGTGGTGTTTCCCCATGAATCATGCCTCAAACTGTTGGGAAGGTCTTTAATCAGGCCGAAGTCTCGCTCCCTCTCACACCTTATACCTGGGCCTCCTTGTCCCACATCTGGACTCTGAATGGGTGGGGAGATGGGTTCTAGAGAGAACCTATCTGCCTGACATGCCATTGCCTGTTCCTCCACCCACCGCACACAGCAACACAGCTGCAAGGCTGGTGACTTCCTCTGCCTTCCAATGAATGAACTCTTGGGGCCTTTGAGAGACCTCCCTGCCCTGCCTCACTTCTCACCTCATGATGACACTGAGCTGGCAGCGGGCGAGCTCTGTGTGTGGACGCTGTGATTCATAGCTCTCGGGCCATCAGGCAGTCATAAAGTTCACAATTGAAAAAAAGAAATCCACTCATCTGTTTTGAAATCCTCAAGCAATAAGTGAACATAGAATCTTTATTTTAAAATATTGAAATAAAAAATTCACTTGCCTCCTGACCAAATCCCTTCCTCTTCTAGAAGTTTCCCAGGAGGCCAGGAGCTGCTGTGCAGCCAGTTAAACCTGGGTCCTTCCAGACTTTTCCCTGTGCATTTCCACCGCTATCGCTGTGTAAACATGGAGAGACATCGTAGTGTGTATTTCCACCGCTATCGCTGTGTAAACATGGAGACATCGTAGTGTATGCTGCCGGGTTTTTACATAAATGAGGTCATCTTAGGTGTATTGTTCGGCAGCTCGCTTTGTTCACGTGACAGTATATCCATTCCAGAGTATTCAGTCATGTGTACCGACCTCATCCATTCATCATCCTTCCTCCCTCCTTCCCCATGCCTCCCACCCCTTTCTCCCTTTCATGGGTACCAGCTGCCTACCCTATACTACTCAATAAATACCATGCAAAGTCTCTCTTTCTTCCTCTCATTAACTACCAAATCCATCTTTCCACTTTACTTTTGTTTTTCACTTAATAAATCACTTAGGGCCCTAACCGGTTTGGCTCACTGGATGGAGCATCAGCCTGCGGACTCAAGGGTCCCAGGTTCGATTTCGGTCAAGGGCATGTACCTTGGTTGCAGGCACATACCCAGCAGGGAGTGTGCAGGAGGCAGCTGATCAATGTTTCTCTCTCATCGATGTTTCTAACTCTCTATCCCTCTACCTTCCTCTCTGTAAGAAATCAATAAAATATATATTTAAAAAAAAATAAATCACTTAGGAGACCTTTTCAGTTAGCAATAAAGAGTTGCCTCAATCGTTTAAATGGGTACAATTGTTCCATGTATGGATGACATATAATTTATGTAACCAGTCCCCTAATGATGGACATTCAATTGTCTCCTATAATACTCAATAAATACCATGCAAAGTCTCTCTTTCTTCCTCTCATTAACTACCAAATCCATCTTTCTACTTTACTTTTGTTTTTCACTTAATAAATCACTTAGGAGACCTTTCCAATTAGCAATAAAGAGTTGCCTCAATCGTTTAAATGGGTACAATTGTTCCATGTATGGATGACATATAATTTATGTAACCAGTCCCCTAATGATGGACATTCAATTGTCTCTATTACATGGGCTACAGGAATAGCCTTGTACTTGTATCATTACCTTAGTATGGAGAGCTTCCTGGTCCCTTTTCAGAACGGTATAGTATTTCACTATGGCTGTGTCATGATGTTTTAACCAGCCTCTTACTACTGGACATTTGGGGGTGTTTTCTGCCTTTTGCTCTTAGACACAAGGCTCTGATTAATTTACATATTTAATTTTGGGGTGTTTTAAAAAATTTTTTTTTATTGATTTCAGAAAGGAAGAGAGAGGGTGAGAGTGATAGAAACATTAATAATGAGAGAATCATTGATCGGCTGCCTCCTGCACACCCCACACTGGAGATCGAGCCTGCAACCCGGGCATGTGCCCTTGACTGGAATTGAACCCGGGACCCTTTAGTGTGCAGGCTGATGCTCTATCCACTGATCCAAACCAGCTAAGGCTAATTTTGGGGTATTTTAATTGGAGGATAAATCCCAGAAGTGAGGCACCCAGTGAAGGGTGCATGCCGTTGTCAGTGTAGTGCACACTGCCAAGTCACCCTCTGTGTGAGTTGTGCCAATGTGCCCTCCCATCAGGGGGAGAGAGGAGCCCCAGGCAGCCTCACTTTGGTGTCTTTCTCTCCTTCTTTCTAGATGCGAGCCACTCCTCTGGCAGCTCCTATGGGTAGTCCCTCCAGGAAGAAGCAGTTGAAGTTGGATGATGACCTAGACACGGAGAGTCCCGCCCGGAAGCAAGCTCGAAGTGGACCCCAGCCCAGGCTGCCCCCCTGCCCTCTGCCCCTGAGCCCACCCCCTGCTCCAGTCCGTGCCCCTGCTGTGACCACTGCCTCCCGGCTTGGGCCCTATGTCCTCCTGGAACCCGAGGAGGGCGGCCGGGCCTACCGTGCCCTGCACTGCCCCACAGGCACCGAATACACCTGCCAGGTAAGTGCCCCTGGGGCCCTCCTCCAGCATCACAGGGGCCTGGGAAGAGCCTTGGCTGCAGAGAACTGTCAGGCCTGAGGGATCCGTGTGTTCATGTCGTCCTGTGCTTATTGGGAGCAGCCAGGGAGCCACCCAATTCTCTGTCAAGCCCCAGGCTGGACTGTGACCAGAGAAGTAAACCAGATGGTCCCAGCCCTGGGGAATTCATAGCTTAGGTCCCCATAATGGATACAGGTTGCCGGGGTGGAGCTTACGGACCATGACAGCAGAGGGGAAAAGCCTCTAATGTACTCAAGGGTGTGGGGAGCCGGCACGGCCATGGCATACTCAGCCCCAGGGCGCCTTATGTGCCATGCCAGCTCAGCCTGGTTCAGTGACCCTGAGTGGGGGGTGAAAGGCTTAGAAAAGACAGACAAGAGAATGAAAGCTGGGGCTTGGTGGAACGCTGCCCCTCTGAGGTACAGCGCTGGCGCCCACAAGCCGTGTCTTTATTTTATAGCAGATGCCACGAGGCAGAGTAAGGGCGTGATCAAGATGTTTACAACATTCTTGTGGGTTTCAATCCCACTCAACTACATGCACCTGAACTCTATCACTCAGGCATGTGGGGCCACGTGTTCGGACCACAGGTTCAAGCTTACAGCTACAGCTGTTGGCTAATTGTGCTGGGAGGGCTCTGCCATCCAAGCTGGGACTTGCACGTGGCAATGAGAGGACTGTGCCAGCTCAGTAGTCCAAGGCTTGAACCTGTCCAAAACACTCTGGCCGCGCCCCACACAAGGGGGTGTCAGAAAAAGACCGAGGAGTTAGCTAGGGAGAAGCGGGAAGAGGGAGGTCCGGGCAGGGAAACAGCTGTGCAGAGAGGCCTAGAGGAGGGAGAGCATGGTGCTTCAGGGAGTTAACGGGACTTCACCATGGCCGAGTGGAGAGGGTGTGCAGCCAGGGGCAGGAGATAGGGGCTGGCAGCCACTGGGCATGACCGCACTAGAAAGGACCTCCTGTGGGAAGCCATGGAAGACATTTGCACAAGAGAAGGATGAGATAGAGTAGGCATCAGAACCCCTGGGATCCTGGAGGTCATGGGACCTAACCTATGGCCATTTTACAGATACAGACTGAGGTCAAGAGAGGAGAAGGGTCATGCACGAATCCACATAACATTGGGCCTGGCTTCCTAGGGCAAGGGTCCTTCCAGACTTTTCCCTGTGCATTTCCACTGCTATCGCTGTGTAAACATGGAGAGACATCGTAGTGTATGCTGCTAGGGCAAGGGACCATGGCTGTGAGTCAAGTTAGATGCCCAGTGGCTGGCACAGGTAGGAATGCAAGAAAGGGTGGGCAGTGTGAATTCTAGAGAATGGAAGCTCTGATGATGATGATAATGGGCATAAAGCTACTTTTGCATCATCTGCTCTTTTGGATTTCCCTGCTTTCTGGGTTATTTTTGTTTGGGTTACCTATTCTTTTTCTTTTCTTGTTAAAAAAATATTTTTTATTGATTTCGGAGAGGAAGGGAGAGGGAGAGAGAAACATCAATGATGAGAGAGAATCATTGATCGACTGCCTCCTGCATGTCCCCCACTGGGGATTAAACCTGCAACCTGGGCATGTGTCATTGCCAGGAATCGAACCATGACTTCCTGGTTCATAGGCTGACGCTCAACCACTGAGCCACACTGGCTGGGCTCTGTTATTTTTTCAATTCTCTTAAGTTTAAGAACATATAAGGTAGCAGTTAAGAACACTTGGCTGTGTGGCCTCTTGGCTCTCTCAGGGTTGAGTGTCTTGGTGCAGGAGCGCTTGGCACACTGCCTGGCACCCAGTAGCATGTAAGGGACAGCTGACTGTTTCCAAGGTCAGCCCGGGCTCCACGCGGTCCCCCCTGTGCTCATGCCGTGCTCCGCCCACAGGTGTACCCCGTCTGCGAGAGCCTGAAGGTGCTAGAGCCCTACTCGCGGCTGCCTCCCCACAAGCATGTGGCACGGCCCGTGGAGGTCCTGGCAGGCCCACACCACTTTTACGCCGTTTTCCCGCGGCCCCACGGGGACATGCACAGCCTGGTGCGCCGCCGTCGCCGCCTGCCGGAGCCCGAGGCCGCCAGGCTCTTTCGCCAGATGGCCGCCGCCGTGGCGCACTGTCACCAGCACGGTCTGGTCCTGCGAGACCTCAAGCTGCGACGCTTCGTCTTCGCCGACTGTGAGAGGTGAGTGTGGCAACAGAGGAGCCGCCCGGGAGGTGGGCCCTAACGGGAAACCAAGGCTCAGGAAGGCCAAGTAGCCGACACAGACTGTGGAGAAGCCTGGACAGCACCACCGCCCGGTCCAGGGGAGAAGGGGACCCAGTCCTGTGGGAAGCCCCTTGGGGACCCAGTCCTGTGGGAGCGCTGCCTTTGTGGTTAATCCTCACCGGAGCATATTTTTCCATCCATTTTTAGAGACAGTGGAGGGGGAGAGACTGAGAGAGAGAAACATCGATGTGAGAGAAACACGTCAACTGGCTGCCTCCCGCACGCGCCCCAACCAGAACTGAACCCTGAACTGTGGGCCGATGCTCTATCCACTGAGTCCAACCGGCCAGGGCAGCGCTGCCTTTCTGATAGTAGCGACAGTGATGGAGAGCATCGCTGCTCTGCCTGGCGTGGCCTGGATCCTGGTAAATAGGAGGTGGACACTGTTATTGTCCCCATATGGCAGGCGAGGAAACTGAGACCCAGCGAGGTCAGTAGCCTAAGACCGACAGCTGAATAAATACTAAGCTGGGATCTGAACCCAGAGGTGACTCCAGAGCCAGGGCCCTAGCTCCCTCTGAGCATGAGAGGTGGGAGGCCTGGCTGGGTGACTTGCCGACTCTGGGTGGCCCAGTGTCTCCGGACCTCAGTTTCCCGATTGGTAGGGGAAAGGCTGGATTGTCAAGATGTTGCCAGGATTTCAAGGTCACACACAGCTCAGGGCCACAGCCAGAATGCACCCTGAGCTTCCCACACAGGAACCTTTTCCTCTAAAACTGAAAATCAGGGATTTTTGGAGGGGGGACCGAAAGGGACCTGGCACCCTGTCCCCACCCCAGATCCTGGGAGTATGCAGGGCATCAGCTCACCAAGCCACAGGTGCACATGCACACCCATTAGAACATTGATTTCATTTCAAGATATTTTTGGGAGGAGGGTGACCCCACTGGATTTTTTAAAAACTTTATTTTCAAATACTTTTAGACTTTCAGAAAAGTTGCAAAAACAGTTCAAAGAGGTCCCATGTTTTCTTCACCATTTCCTCTGAAGTTAATATCTTACCTGACCATAGTATAACTACCAAAGCCAAAACATTAACCTTGGTTTCGTACTACTAACTAAACCACAGATTTCACCGTTTCCCCCTATGCCCTTGGGTCCGGGATTCCATTCAGGCCCCACCCTGCATTCGCCAGTCAGGCCTCCTCCGTGCCCTCCAGGCTGACGGATCCTCAGGCTTTTCGGTTCTCTCTTGACCTGGATACTTTTGAAGAGAACCAGTCAGTCATTGTGTAGAACGCCCCTCCATTAGAGTTCAGCTGGTGTTTTTCTCGCGGTTGAGGTGCTACATCTTTGGCATGAATACCACAGAAGCCCTGGCGGGGTGGTTCAGTTGGTTGGAGCGTCGTTCCATACACCAAAAGGTTACGAGTTCGATTTTTGGTCAGGGCACATACCTAGGTTTCGGGTTTTGAACATCAAAAAAACATTATGCTATGTGAAAGAAGGGCAGTCACAAAGGACCATGTATGGTAAGATTTAATTAATATAAAATGTCCAGAATAGGAAAATCTATAGAGACCAAAAGTAGATTCGTGCTGAGGGCTGGAGGGTGGCAGATGGGGAGTGTCTACAATTGGGTACCGGGTTTTTTATATTTTTTAAGGGGTGATAAAAAAGTTCTAAAATTGGATTGTGGTGATGGCTGCACAACTTTTAATTGTACTTAAAACCATTAAATTGTACACTTTAGACAGGTGGATCTTATGGTATATAAATTACATCGCAGAAAAAAAAGAAAATAAATTACATCGCAATAAAACTGTTAAAAAACCTCACAGCAGTCAGACTGACAGGTGATGATGTCTCAATAGCAACCACAGAAGCTAGAAGACAGCGGAGTGCTATCTCCAAGGTGCTGGAATGCCAGCTGGAATTCTATACCCAGTGAAAACGTCTCTCAAGAATGAGGTCAAGCCCTAGCTGGCTTGTTCAGTGGTTAGAGCGTTGGCCCACAGACTGAAGGGTCAAGGGCACGTAACTCGGTTGCAGGTTCGATCCCCTGCCCCGGTCGGGGCATGTGCAGGATGCAACCAGTTAATGTGTCTCCCTCACATTGATGTTTCTCTCTCTTTGTCTCTGCCCCCCTTTCCACACTCTCTAAAAATCAATGGAAAAATATATCCTCAAATGAGAATTAACAACAACAACAACAACAGCAAAATGAGTTCTAAATAAATATTTTCAAACAAAACCCAATCCAGATCTCCCAGAGGTGAGAAAGTGCTTCTTTTCTCAAGGAAATAGTTTGAGAAACACTGTTGGTAGGAGAAGGGCAGTGGAGTCAGACAAACCTGGGCTCAAATCCTGATTCTACTTAAGGAAAAAAAAGTAAAATAATATATATGTATATTTTTTATTGATTTCAGAGAGGAAGGGAGAGGGAAAGAGATAGAAACATCAGTGATGAGAGAGAATCATTGATCGATTACCTCCTGCACGCCTCCTACTGGGGATCGAGCCTGAAACTTGGGCATGTGTTCTTGACCGGAATCAAACCTGAGACCGTTGAGTCGGGTGGGGTGGGGGCGTGGGGGTCCCAGCAGGAGCTGACCCGCTGCCCTCTCCCTGCCACAGGACGAAGCTGGTGCTGGAGAACCTGGAGGACGCCTGCGTGCTGACCGGGCCGGACGACTCCCTGTGGGACAAGCACGCGTGCCCGGCCTATGTGGGACCCGAGATCCTCAGCTCGCGGGCATCCTACTCAGGCAGGGCGGCGGACGTCTGGAGCCTGGGCGTGGCGCTCTTCACCATGCTGGCCGGACACTACCCCTTCCAGGACTCGGAGCCTGCCCTGCTTTTTGGCAAGATCCGCAGGGGGACCTACGCCCTGCCCCGGGGCCTC